CCCCCAGCCGGGGAAGCCGTCCCGCACCCGCGGCCGTTGTCGTCGTTGCCGCCGCCGCGGGTCCTCCTCCTCCCAACAAGGCCCAGCCTAGCAACGGCGGCCTCCGCACCGGCCAGACCCTCACCCGCCTCCCCGCCGCCAGGCCCAGTTGCCTCAGGAAGCTCCGGCTCAACCACAGCTCCGCCCGGGAGGCCGCTTCGGCCTCTATCAGCGCCGCGCACAGCAGCACCGGCTGCGCCTCAACCCCGGCCGGACGCATAGCCAAGATTAACGCTCCGGCTGAACCCCCGGCTCCGGCCCCGGCCGCCGCCGCTGCCCATTGGCCTCCGGCTACGAGCAGCCCGGTGGCCGGTGGCAGGTCCTGAGGGACAGGGTCGCTGAGGCACTGCAGCACCGCCACCGCCATAGAGAGCGAGCTCCAGATTCTGCAGGGAGACCATAGAGACAAAACGACAGACCGCACAAGTTGTTAACCTTTCTGCCCGGAAGCGAACCGACTCTGTGAAAGGAAGAGGGACATTTGACACAGAGATCCCAATGGTAGGCTAGAGCGTCGCCACTTTTGCTCTTTCCGGGAATTACGGCCGATTCCATAGACTTTTCTATTTTTTTAAGAAGACATGTTCATGATGCCTAGTTTCCGGGTTCATTTTGAATTTCCTTGATTTATATCTGCTCAAGTTGGAAAAGAGAAATCAGTCATACACAGAGAAGAATGAAACAAACAAACAAACAAACAAAAGACCAAGAGCATTTGGGCGAACCTGTGACCGAGAAGTAGTGGGTCAACTTAGGACACGGGACACTGATTTTACCCTCACCCCCAAGAAGCAACACTGTGTTGCAGCAAAACAAACAAACAAACAAACAAACAAAAGACCAAGAGCATTTGGGCGAACCTCTGACCGAGATGTAGTGGGTCCTGTAACACAAGCCTAGCAAAAGTCTGGTAGCAGCAGAAACAAGAGATGATCTTCTTTGCCACGTTGGTCTCGCGGGGTAGAATCCAAAAGGGGTAAACTGGCAACATTTGAATGGGGCTTTACTTCAGCTGTGGATTATATATTTCTCAACTTGCTCTCTATAAAGCTTAGAATTAGGTTAACTACAATAAGCAGATGCTGCTTTTATTTGGCATGAGAGAAACATGGTGTCAAAATCCAAAAACAAAGATGGGTGATACATTTGTTAGAATAGACTGTAAACAGCTTGGACTACACAGGAAAAAACCATGGGAAATACTTTAGGTTTGGGGAGACTGATTTGCATTTTTCCCATTGATCACATCACACAATTAGAAATGTAAGTCAGCCTGGACTCCTACATCCCCAATCCTTAGTTTTTCTTTCCCACCAGAGACTCTCCTACTTTTAAAAAGTCAAACCCTTTCCTTTCAGTTCAAAGTGTGTGATTACATTGCAGGGATGCAGAAGGGAAAGACCAATTGAGTGGGTGGACACACAAAAGAGTGCTGTAGTAATGCACCTTACCTCTTGCCTCATGAGGAAGGACAAGGAGCATGAACACACATGCAAAAGCAGCACCAGCATTAACCTCTCTGCACAAAGCCTCTCTTCCAAGGCACTTCCTTTTTTCCTAAACAGCTACTCCAGGACAGAGCTCCTGTTTGTTTGTGTGTTTGTTTTTTACAGCTGAAAGAGCTCCTCAAAGATGAGGAAATCAGTGACAAAGGAAGAAAAGCCTTCTTAAGGCAATTCCTTTGAACCACCTCACCTATGGGGCTTCAAATGGAATAGCAATTAGAAGACTTCCCCTCCCTTCTGTGACTTATATCAAAGAGAATTGAATGCCCCAGTGTGACTTCATAAAGAATGTGAGTTAATTCACATTTCTCTCACTATGCAGTTACACCCTGCACAGACATGCTATCTTTCAAGCCCTGCAGGATCCCCCAGGCTGCATTTTGCAAAGTGTGGGATGGGGAGAAGAAACCAAAGAAGTCTCAAAAATCATCTTGGCCAGATATTGAGCTGCTTTTGTTTAAAGTGTTTATCTATTTATTTGCTACATTTATTTATTTCCCACCTTTCTCCCAATGAGGGGAGCCAAGGTGACTCACAATGATAAAAAGCCTGAATAAGTGGATTAGTCCATGAAAGACTAAGCATTTAGTCTCTTAGGTGCCACAACATTTTTGTCTTCTTTCTTTTATTTTAGGTTTTGTTCAAAATGATAAAAAACATATGCTAAAACAACAATCAATTACAAAGTTAAAAAAATTAAGCATGCGATCATAATTAGAAACCAATCAATCAATTATGAAATTATAATTAAAAAGCATTTTAAAACGTTGTGACACACTTAAAATAAATAAAAAAAGTTTCAAAGTGGAGTCACTAGTCTTTTAGAATCTACCTGAAGTAGCAGGTTTTGCTGTAGGGGATATAGATTTCATTTTCTTTCTCCATTAGAACAAACTGTTAATTAGTTTATGAAATCTTAGTAGTTCAGGAAAGGTGACACCCACCATTGTTTTTGGATTTTGCAACAGGATCACACAGCTTTGTCCTTTTTTGTTGGACTATGCTCACTAGGTTGGAGTGCTTGGCTAGCCAGAGCCAAGGGTCAGGAATTCAAATCCCCACTGATGCTTCCCAGTGGCTAGACCTGTCAAGATCATCCAAAGTATGCAGGATGTCCTGCTCCCTGTGTGGCCCTGAGTACATTATACAGCCCCAGAGTGCCACTAATAGGAGGAACTAGTAAACAATTTCTGACTACATACTTTATACCTGAGAATCCCTAGGAAGGTCATCATGTCAGAATCCACATACAATGCATAATTATGAATATTGGCCAGAATCTTGTTGCTTTCCATACTTAAATCTCACTAGAATCAATGGGGATTTGGTGATTCACCTCCTCTGTTGATTCAAATAGGTCTGCTCTAGTTGCACCTTACTGTTGGATCTCATCCATTGTAGCAAAATCAACAATAAACTGCTACAGTACTTTAGCATGGAAATTTGCAAATAGTGTAGGCCCATTTGGATCACCAGAACTTATGGAGGAGTCCCCAATGGGTCTATTCTAATGGTATGTACAGTAGTATGTTAAGCAACAGGATTTTAGCCATTACTGTATTTATTAGCGATCACTTTACCATGTGTGGGGAAAAAAGATTTGCGCTTAAAGATCCAGTTAAATGACTCCGACTACCTTGAACAAATGGAAATTAAGGGGCAGCACTAATACGGGTCATTTTCCCTGCACCACTGGGTCCTGAATGAAGAACATTTCGAACTCTCTCTAATAGTCACCCTAGAACACAGAAATGAACAACTTATTCAGTCTATTTTTGCAGTAGGGGAAAAAAGGAAGACTGCATAATGATTTTAGGCAAACCAAGCTTAATATTTTTTTAAACATACACTTTAATTAGCAGCAATCTGCTAATGGCATTCACTCCTTTTGCACAGGCAAAGTTATGCAAAATTCCCACAGGATGGCAACTTTAATGGTCCATTGTGAGTACAGTACCTCTAAAAAGGAACGGAGGCCACTTATGTGCTGTGCTGTGGGACTGTAGGAGTTTCTGCTAAAAAAGGTAATGTTTCTTATCTCTGAGCAGATACTCAGACCTACTTAAATAAAATTAATTTGGACTTTAATTAGTCATCAGTAACATCACTGATTTGAGAGGGTATGCTCCAGCAGTGTAATCCAGACTCAATGTTACACTGGCTGTAGTGGGTTGCAATGGGCAGAAGCCTTTTATGCTAGGACACCGGCTCTTGCATTGGCTCAGCCCCCTTGTCCTGGCTGATTGATCTCAGATCCTCAGGCATAATTGACTCTGTGATCACAACTGCTCTGCTGGCTCAGATAACCCAACAGAAGAGACAAAAAAAAAGAGTGGGAAGTAGGGAAGGAGAAAAGAGAGGAGGAGGTGGGTTACACCAGATCTAAATCCTTTTCAGCCCAGACTCATAGCCCCTGTGCCAATTCCAATTTAGGTCAGAGACAGTAACAGTACTGAGGTATTGTTAAGATGGGCAGGGTTTAAATTAAGCAGAATCTCAGCTTAGTGTCAGTACAAGCAGCTAGGATTGCACCCCCAAATGTGATTTAAAAGAGGTCTGCCCTAGTGTAAGTGGCTTGAATTTGACCAAAGAGAAAGAAGAATCATCTTGGGAAGCAGTGGTTTTACAGATTGATGCTGCTCTGAAACAGGGAATGGATTCTTGAGCCCTGACCGCCTCTTTCTCCCAGTTCTGGGACCGGCATAACGCTTCAAATAGGTAAAGACATTACACTACTCTCTTTTCACATAGGAAATAAGTATCAGCTTGTTTCTTCTCAGTGACTGAGAGAAGTAGGAGCATGAATCATTACAGAAAGGTGGTGTGTAATAAAGACTTGAAGTGAGGCACCTTAGTTTCTCACACACCATTCTTCACCCTAACATACCCCACAGGGTTGTTGTTCTCTAAACTGAGCCTGACACCAAGTAGCAACTATTTTGAACACAGATGGGATAGAGGGATACTCGGATGGGTAGATTAAATATATTTTCTCCAACTCATCTTTTCTAGATCCATGTGAAGATTGCTACTCTTATGCTTCCTTCTTTTCTAAAGGCATTTCCTGATTCTTCTTGTGCCTCATCTTAGCTAGACGGAGCAGCAGCCTGCACATATGGAAGCCGGCTCTGGTAGCTTTTGTAACTATGGTTACTGAGTCTTTTCTCTCCCACATCATCCTTAATTCTCTAAATAATAAACAGTATGTTTTTCCTTTTCTCTTAGAATCAGTATACAAACTAGTGAAGTTCATTCAAAAGTCACAACCTCAGACCCAGGCTGCTGCACTCTGCTGACAAATACCAAATAATGTTAACAACTGGGAGGGTAACATGGCAGCACAATCTGTGTGCGCTGTATTTAATTCTTGCAGTCAAGTTGTGAGGGATTGATTGTCCTTTCAGCCCTCCATTCTTCCTTCCAAAGGCAAAAGTTCTTTTGCTTCCCATGGTGTATTTCTATATATTTGAAAGTTGGCAGAAAATATTATAATAGTGATGCCAAACTGAGCCAAAGAAGTGGTAGGGAACTTCACAAAACAAATTAGAATAATGTACAGTAAAAGAGCAGAATGTGTCTTAGATTTACTCTCATTGCTATATGTATGCCCCCTACTGCCTCTCCTGGGAAAAGCATGTCATATCCATCCCATGTCTAGAATTAAAAAGGAAAGGGCTGGTGTGGTCCTGAAGATTGCATGAATGCAAGAGTAGGCGATACCTTTTATCGGACTTTTATTTAAAAAATAAAACAAATAGCAAGCTTCTGTGGTTAAACTACAGTATTGCAGCCAAAACTCTGTTCATGGTGAGCATTTGATACCAATGAATTTTCAGACATGGCTTTCGGTTGACTTCGTCTTACATTCTTCTGAGGCCAGTGAAATGAGTGTCAAGCTCGCTGGGGGGGGGAGGGATGGCAGCACTGTGTAGCCTGTATAATAATAATAGAAGGAGTAAACTGCCCAGAGAGTTCTTTAAGCACTATGAGGTGGTACA